GGGATTGGGAAATGGTCTTTTGAACCACACCGGGCCATATCTTCATTTAACAAAGGGTGTCATACTTGGAGTGAACTCATAACGTTTGGCAAACATCATAATGTAATTGATGAAGGCCCCTTTAAGGGTTTCTCCATCATCGTTAGGAGTAAGCTTGACCAAACGGGTCCCTTCAATGCTCCTTCCCCTTATCTCAGTAGAAGCCTCATCAACTATCCCTTTTTTGGGAAGGCTAGCTTCAAAGGTTGCATTAAGCCACAGTTGAAGTAGCCAAAGAGGACCACTTAAGTGTACATAACTTTGAGCCTCCATGTGTTTTAGTCGAGAAGCTCCTTCACTAATGGATTCATAGAGGTTCACCAAAATGAGTTCACTTAAGCAGACCCCTCTATTATTATGGAGTTGGTTAGCAAAGGGCAAGCACTTCTTGGCTACTTGCAAAGATTTGGTACAAAAAACGTATCTCGACAGCCATATAATGAGAAATACAATGTGTTCTTTGTCAAATACATCTTCATGGTCTTGGTCGAAGTGGTGTTTGATAAAGAGGGTGTAGGTGAGTTTGGAACTTGAGATGTTTATGGTATCTTCAGCATCCACATCAAGATTATAAGGGATGCCATTTGGGCGAAGCCCTGTGATGGTAGCTAGGTCGAAGAGTGTTAATGTAACCATCCCACATGGCAAATGGAAGGTATAGTGAGTACTGTCCCAGAAGTACAGAGACGCTGCCAGCAGGTTCAAGCAGTATGGGATGTTGGTCTTCGACAGCATAAGGAGATCATAGATACCTATAGATTTCCAATGTTCAGCCTTAACTTTTTCCAATTTCTTCATCCAAAGGTCAAAGTTCTTTAGGGGATTGATAGCTCTTACCAGCCTAGTACCATCAGTGAGATAACTAAGGTTGATCTTAGGCAATGAGAGGTCTTTAGAAGCAGTTTTAGTGATGCAAGGGAAACTTTTTTGCCCTAAGGACCTTGATTTCCGGTATGAAGGAAGAGACTCACTCAGTTTTTCATCAGAAATTCCAACAATATCCAGAGGACCAGATAATGCATATGGTTTATCAGAAACAATCAAAGGAATCATTACCTGAGACTTATAGATGCTTCGTATTTCTTCAGTGATGGGTTCTGGCATGTAGTGACGATTATCCACCATTTGGGGGCCAGGAATGTTTGCGAATGATGTGATAGACTGCTTGAATTGAATGACTTTACCCTTTTGGGTTTTCTTCTCGTGAAGACTTTCTTGGGAGGATGTCATTCTTAAAAGAAATGGAAGGAAATGGTGTTTTCTAGGTTTCATGAAGAAAACTGAAGGAAGAAAGACAAGGTGCTTAAGATTCTGAGAATGTGAAAAGTTCACAAAATGGTGAAAAAAAGTATTTATAGGCGTTTGGGAATCCTAAAGGCCTTGAGTCCACCGCCGAAGTTGATCAAGTAGTGGGACGCGTGTCTTTCTCTTAAGAAATGATGAGTGTTAGCAGTTATGGTCAGACTGCAAAACATATGTTTTCAAGAAAAAGTGATGATGAATAGGCTGAAAAGACGTTTAAGAATTTGTCATGATGGCGTGACGTCATAAACATGGGTTAAAGAAATTGAACAGTTTAGCCACTAAACGAGTAGTGGGTTGTTCAGTTAAGGCCATGCAATTTCATAGTCATATGCGTCAAAATGGTTGTAAAAAATGACCTTCCTACCAATTTTGGCAAAAGGACATTTCTTGGGGGCAATTTGTTGACTCTCATTTTCGACGTCAGCAAAATCAGAGTTAGCTTAAGTCAAACAAATTATTTTTAAGCATAAGAAGGTTTTGACCCAGTTTTTGCTGAAGCCTGAGTCAAAGAGAGGTTGTGAAGACTTCTGGAAAAATTGTTAAGTGTTGGAAAGTCCTTCGACCATGAGAATGATGAAAGAAGCGCGCTGCAGTTACCACTAAGGCTGGAGGGAAATTCCTAACATTTGAATTTCAAAAGAGCAGTTGGCGAATATGGGAACAGTTGAAGTCAAGAAAAACGCCAAAAGATACATTTTGAAGCAACCACCGTCACTTAGTAGTTATTTTCTAGTATTATAAATAGGGGTTATTTCCATAGAATAAAGGTGTTCATTTTTCGTGTACAAGTTACTCCAAATTGCTCAAAGTACCCACGTGTAGAGAAACGAGTGTCGAGAGAATGTACGTGATGAAACACCATTTATTTTCATCAATGCAATTTATGTATCTTTATCATTTATATCTTTCCTTTTATTCTGCACTTTATCTTGCATGACTTTATCTTTCATGTTTAAATGTTTTTTCCTAAACTTTATCATTCGTATTTACATTTTCTTCCTTGAAACTTTATTTTAATCTTTACTTTCAGTTGATTTAATCTTCTGCACTTTATTTTAACTTGATATTTAATCTTCTGCACTTTATTTTAACTTGCTATTTAAAAGTCTTTTTAATTGCTTTCGACTGTTACTTTCCTGCACTTTTACATTATTGCTTTTACTTTCGACGCCACTTACTTTCTTGCACTTTTATCAAATTCAAGCCTTTAAATAATTGCCTTTATTTTCAAAGTTTTTACATCTTGGCTTTTAATTTCGACGCTTTAAGAATTGCACCCTTTATTTTACAGTCTTGTCAATTTCCATGTTTTTTTTACTTTACAAAGTTTTTATGGAGTTTCTTTAGAACATAGTCGAACATGGAGTTCAATTTAGATTTTCTTTTAAACTTAGCACATGTCCTAGGATTTGTATGGTCAATTTTGCGAGTTACTCAATTTCACCCAAAGTTGATAAACCAGAGGTTGTTTACCAAATTTCACAGTAAACATGTATGTGATTCACTATGTTATTTAGACGTTATTTTTATGCACTTAGTACCATATTAACGCTTCACATAATACAGTTCTAGACGTGTATTATAGTGGAGTGTTACACACACACACATAGACATGCGCGCGTACGCCCCCCCCAACACACACACACACACACACACATACACATCAGTATCAATATCAGGGACAATAAAGATAAAAGGAACAATGAGGACCACATATACAGTCACCAACTTAGGAAAGACTAAAAAAGGGGAATATCCAAAGTAGACCTCAATTTGAGAATACTAAAAACCTCAATGTCAAAAGAATCAAAAACCAGATTAGAAACAATAGGGATAAAAAATAAGAACATGTACCTGGAACCAACAAAAATAAAATACCTAGAGAGCTGATTTCACCAACCAGAAGAGCGTCATCCAAAATGAGGATCATACCAATCAGAGGTACAACATGCTTTCACCGACCAAAACATCAACAAGCACGAAGGAAAGAATGAGTCAACCCATGATATAAAGCTCAACAATACTAATAATGGTACTAATCAGACTTGTTACGAGGGATCAACAAGAGAGATAAGACGGAGTAGAAGAAAAATCCTACAAATGAAAAATAACTTACGGAAAATACCACAAAAACTCATATGAATACCAACTACAACTCTTTAAAGAAAAGATACGATGAAGGTATTCACATGAGAAATAATTTCAGTACCACTAACAAAAGTGAATCCACCAACATGCAAACCGAAAATCAAAAGCAACCAGGAAACACCAATAAAGAAGATAAAACAACAAATCATAAGATAGGAAAATGAGCAACATAGACACCAATAAACCTAAAGTCGGAGAATATTTCAGATGAAAACCTCCTGAAAAGGGATGGATAAAGTGTAACTGGGACACAAGTTTAGTGGTGAAAGGCTTTCAGGGATTAAGGTTTATCTTTAGGAATGACCAAGGCGAAATCTTTGTAGCTGGAACGGAGAAGATGAAGGGTTGTGAAGACCCAAAACTTGCTGAACCGATTGCTTTTAAAAGAGCATTAAAGGTAGTAAATGATTGTTGTTTCAAAGATGTGGAGAGGATAATATAGGGGTACGGTTTGTGATAAAATCAAATGGATGACGTATAGTATCAAAAACATTAGGGTCTCATAATTCGGACAATAGGATTATGAGGAAACACCTTATTGTATTAAAAAGATGCACACCAAATAATAGATATGTATTTTAAATAAAAATATTTTAAAAAGTATTTTAAAAATTAAAATCAAGCTATTATAATAATTTTGTTAAGAGAAGATATAAAATAACAATGTTTTAAAAATCAGACCGATCATCAAACCGATGAAGGTATTGGGTTGTTGGTTCATTGGTCGAACCATTGAGACACTGGTCGAACCGCATGACTAAACCGAATTAAATCGAATAATTCGGCTGAATAAACTGATCTTTATAAAAAAAATTATATATATAATAAATCGTTTGAACCGAATGACTCGGTCTCTTACAAATATCACGACAACTACAAAATTTCAAAATATCATAGTTTCACAAATTCATTCTTTAAATTCAAACTCTTGACGTAGTCATCATGCACAACAAAATAGTACAAAATACAAATTCAAATGAATTTTGATCAATATCTGATTACAAACGAAGAAAAATTGTTTCAAATAAATTTTAAATAAAACCTACTTATATTTTAATTTTATTTTTAAAAAATAAATTGTCCAAACAACGTTGTTATTATTAAGAAAAAAATGACATGCATTTAAACTGCCGACACATTGGTTTTTAATAGTTTTGGTCAATTCTGACCGATTTTCACCTATTCGATTTTCGGTTCAACCGGTCCAACTGATCAATTCGATCCGATTTTTAAAACACTATAAAATAAACTTAACCCGTTTGCTTTGATAAAAAAATAATTTTTCTTTTATTTTACTTTGGTAAAAAATAATTTTTTAATTTTTATAAAAAATTATTACATTTCAATTTTCAAAACGACACAGCACGAGGACAAGTATAAAACCTACGGAAGTGGGGCAAGCAGTATTGGCTTTAGGAGGATTAGCTTTAGGAGGGCAAACAGAAAAATCGTGCTTTTCAGTCGCAAAACCCTAATTTCAAAGCGAGCAGCTCAATACTTCATCAAGCATGGGGCGTATGCACAGTGGAGGGTTCGTTACTAATCCCATTTTCATTCTTCTTTCACCATCAATTTTCTTTCTCGTTTCAACAACCAACATTTTCTGTTTGTTATTGTTTCAATTTTTGGGTTCAGTAAGGGTATTTCATCTTCTGCTTTGCCATACAAGAGGACAGCACCGAGCTGGCTAAAGACCACCTCACAAGATGTAAATCACTCACAAGTTTGCATTTTTGTTGTTGTAATTGTTCTTTTATTCTGTTTATTATCGATTTTATGAACTTTAATTAAAATGTAATTTTTTTAACTTGATTGTTAGGTGGAAGAAACTATTTGCAAGTTTGCCAAAAAGGGTTTGACTCCTTCTCAGATTGGTGTCATTCTTCGTGACTCTCATGGAATTGCTCAGGTTAGGAGTATCACTGGAAGCAAAATCCTTCGTATCCTCAAAGCTCACGGTTTGTTATTTTCTGTCTGCAATAATTTTTACTGGAATTTGTTATTTCAGAATGGATTGACCAATTCTAACTTATTTTGTAGCATAATCACTTATGATAATGCTCTCCAGCTTAACTTGTGAAAACAGCTTATATGGGCTGTATAAAACATTTTGAGTTATGTTATCTTTTGTTATAGAAATGGTTTATGTATAACTATTATTTATATGTGTTTAGTTTAGTGGTTTGTACAAACATGACATACTTAGTAACTGAGTTTGTTTTTGGGATTTATTTCAGGACTTGCACCTGAAATTCCTGAGGATTTGTACCATTTGATTAAGAAGGCAGTTTCAATTAGGAAGCATCTGGAGAGGAACAGGAAGGATAAGGACTCTAAGTTCAGGTTGATTCTTGTGGAGAGCAGAATCCATCGCCTTGCTCGCTATTACAAGAAGACCAAGAAGCTCCCACCAGTCTGGAAATAGTAAGTAACCTATTATGGTTGTTCTTTCCAGTAGAATTTAATCAACTTCATTGCTTTACTTGCTAACTTTTGTGTTAAGTATGGTGTAAGATCGAGGAATATGCAATACAGTTAGTGGCATATTCTTTTTGCACATCAACACCGATTCTATTATTTTCTATTATTTTAATTGATCATTTTAAGTAGAGTAAAACAAACTTCCAGGTTTCAAATGATCCAGTTATATTTTCTTTTTGTTCATTGAACAATTTTTACTGATGTTAAATATCTGATAATATTACTGTTATATGATATGTTTCATTTGATGCTTTGGTGTCATTTATGTTGGTGTCATTTATGTTGAAATTCTTTTGGGATTCTTTGCTTATTGTACATTTATGTTTGCTTTGCCCACATCTGCATTTTTTGTTGCCACAACTCCAGTCTATCTTGTAATTAACGGTTTTTTATGTTACTTTTGCAGCGAATCAACAACTGCCAGCACTCTGGTTGCTTAGAGGTTTCTTTTGAAGTCTTGTGCTCTTTTGCAGTCACAATTGGATTAGTAATTTGCTCTATCATGTCTAGTTTTATTTTTTATTTTTTATGTCTAGACAGGTGATATGGTAACTTATTTATCTAAAAATCCATAATCAGTCCGGGAAAGACACACTTGAACTAGTTAATTTATTTATCAATAAGAACTAGTTGTCTTACTTCAGTTTTTGGTTTAAATTTCAATTTATATATACATTAAAAAGCAGCATTGGATTATAAATTATTTTTACTATAGTTGAAGGTTTTTTTTTGTGTATTTGGTTGCTAAAGGGAAAATGTCAATTATATGCTGGTGTTGGGTATTTTGTCTGGACATGATCCATATAAGAGGAGATGCTAAAAAAAGCAATCCGTCAATCAGTATTGAAAATTTCATCCTGCCCAAATTTACAAATGATTTTTGTGTTATATTTTTTTATTAAAAGAGTTTATAATTTTTTATAAAAAGTATTTTAAATGGTTTTTTAAATTGTTTTATTATATTTTTGTTTGGATATTATTTAGATGGTTTTTTATAAAAATCTTTTTTTGACTTGTAAAAAATAAGTGAAAGAAACTTTTAGAATTTTGTTTTATAAAATTCATATTTTAAAAATACAAAAAAGATATATATTCTTTTTAAAATAAAACATACTGGCTCTAAATTATGGGTGATATGTGATAATATAACCTATTTTTCTAGACAAAGTTCTAAGTACAATTGCTTCAATACAATTGCTTCATACTGATGTTACCAAGTTTGTGGAGCATTGAGATTGAATTTTTGTGGAGCATTGAGATTGAATTTTATAATAGCCTTTTGTTCCTAGACTCTTGAGGTTCATTCATTATTTGAGTGAATAGACAAATTTGTTCAATGTATGTCAAAATGATTTTAAAATTTTACGAATTAAAAAATACATCTATTAAATTGTAATGTTTCCGTCTTAATGACCCTTCCATTAACTTTTTTATATAGTTAGCAAAACAATGACATGACATATTAGCTGAGTTTGAGCAAATGTATTCCCTTCAAAGCAGTGTTTACATTCATTTAAAAGCAAGTGAGGCATTCTGACCAATGAATCAGATTAGTTGGTTCAGCGGAGAGGATACTGATAATAAAATAAAAAACGTTGGGCCATCTCCAGCTCAAATGTTAAGCAAAAGCTTAAAACATGCCGTATAAAATTTGATGATTTAACTGTTCACATCCAACCTTTCAAATTTCAAATAAATTAAGTTCACCAAAGAATTCTGAAATCCTGTCCACTATAAGGTTGACCTTAACAACCTTCTTTCACACACTACCATGAAATAGTACTATGTATTCCCACGCGAAATGTACTGGTGTTTCTTGAGGCACACCAAATCCACCAAGAAAGACGTACAAGGTGATTTCATTACTCAAGTCTAAGGTTGGAAATGAGTCGAGTCGAACTCACCTCAGCTCGGCTCGACTCGTTAAGAATTGGTTCGAATTCGACACAAACTTTTTTTTAAGCTCAAGCTCGACTCGTTATAAGTTCACGAGCAGTTCGGTTCAACTCATTAGGTTCATCTCATTAGGTTCAACTCACATGATTCACGGACTTAAAAACTATTTTTTAAAAAAAAAATATTTTTTTAGTATATATGACATTTTAAATAAATATATATTTTTCAAATAAAATATTAAAATAAAATAAAAGTTATCATATTGAAATTTAACTTTATCTTCGAAATCTACTAATTCAAAACCTACACAACTTTCAAGAGATACATTTGAGAATTTAATTCAAAAACTACTAAATTGAAGATTAAATTTGTCTAAGATTTGGAGTAAATATTTAAACCTAATCTTAAACACAATATAATTCTTCCCATATGTAATCGAGTTGACTCATGAACCTAACGAGTCGAACTATGTATAGTTCAAGTTCAGCTCATTTAGTTGACGAACTTAATTTTTCGCTCATACTCAACTCATTTTGTTCATGAACCTAGTTCAACGATTTAATTGTCAAATCGGATTCCAAACTATTTTCTAGTTGGTTCGGTTCATTGCCAACCTTACTCAAATCGCAACCTTCTGAACTTTCAACTGGCTGGTTGTCTAAATTATGGAATCCCGAGCTTTATGGGGCAGGACTGATCTCACTTTCAGAAGATGGATTTTTCGATCCTCCCCTATCATCCTTATCTGTATCATCCTTAGGTGACTTGTCAGAGTCATCACCATCATTCTCTTTGCTAGGACTACCTCCAATATCACCTTTAGGAATACTATGAACCAAATCTGGCCGAGCCTCCACCCCAACTCGTCTAAGGTGCAACTATCATGACAATAGACAATAGTTAAAACATAAACTCCAGAGCATAATAAATTCCAAATATAAAAATGGATACCTGAAGATGTAAGTTGACTTCATCTGGTCATGAAAGGAAAGAAAAATCTCCCCCTGTTTTCAAAGACGCGAGTCTTGCCTCAGGATATCTTTCGCTCAATTGTTCTTTAAGTTGTAGAGGAATTGCGCAGTAGTCATTAGTCTTCAAGAAAACATGCAAGACAATTGGATTTATAAATATCTCGTACAGGACTACTTATTACGTCATAATAAAACGGCAAACTAGAAAATAGTCATATATAAAAATTTTAACACTAGACATTTTCACGATGAAGTCACAAGCAAAAAAATATATGTTTATCGTGAATTTTAAAAACAGCTGCTAATAGAATGCAATATATCAGTTAGAGGGAGGTATTAAATAACACATAATAGCTAAGATTGACATGGTATCATGCAAAAAGAAATTATTTTCATAAGGGATCTTCATGATAAAGAAAAAAGCAAGTTAATACTAAGATGACATACATCCATTATGGTGATAAATGAATCTGAAAGAAGAAGGGGTCCCACTGAAGCATCATCTGTTGTCAGCGACATTCTGGAAGCCAAGTCTTCTCTAGAGAGGGTTTCTACTTGAATAGGCCACACATTACCTAATTATGTAAATCAATCAAGTTATTTAAGACAAAAGTATAAAAGTTTATCACATACAGGATAAGGAAATGCATGTTAAAGAAATGCACTTGTTTATCATATGTAAACTCCTTTTGTTGTCTCAAAGCATGAAAACTGGTAGCATACAAAAATGCTAAAGTGGCAGACTATTAATAAGTATGAGATTATTCAAGACAATGTGTAACACCCCATTTTTACCCAACAGATAAAGCAACGAAATATAATCAGAGTGCACAAAATTTCAACGCATGACGATCGTGACAACCGTGACGATCGTGAGGGTCGTGACGATCGTAAGGGAGTGGTGACGATCGTCACACTCACCAAGTCTGGGCGTCTCATTTTCAGCTGACAAAAACATGCATTTTTCAATTTAACTAGACAACATGCATTCAGTAATGATAAATAGCACAAAATATTGGGTGAACATACCACAACTTGCCTTACATCTCGATTACAAAGAATTCTTCCATCAATTTGCAACGGAATATAAAACATTTCCAACATTCATAATGCTTAAGACAAAACCATAAAACTTGCAACAAACTCCATTAAAATTCGGCAAGCAATCATCTTGCACGGTTTCAACAAAAACAATTAGTTCAATCATAAACTTCAGTACCACTGATCCACCGGTTCAGTGCGTACAACCAACATTCGGCGCATTAACAAAAGCACCCAACTCAATGATAACACTTAGTAAAATTCAGCAACAATAAGATAAATAAAAAACAATGACAACAATCGTTCATCCCCCCAAGAGTGCTAAGTATCAGAGAGACCAACGACACCTTACACGGGAACTACGCTCTATTTTTGACTACCTGTAAATTACCACCAACAGAGGTAACATACAACGTAAAGGGTGAGATATCAATAATATAACATAAGGCATGATAAAAGTCATGCCAGAATATTATCACAACAACTTTATTCCGGTAGCTTACAAAATTTCATCAATAATAAACCATAACATTTATTATTCAAATCCACAACCTTTAGCAAGAAAGTCAGCAGCTCAGCAATGCAATTCAATAATGCGACTCAATAATGCGACTCAACTGTGCATATGTATGTGGTACCAATTTGCCATCAAGGCCGTCAATACAGGCCAACAATTATTTTGCCACTAAGGGCCGCCAATACATGCCATCAAATCGCCAACACAAGCCAACAAATCGCCAATACAGGCCATCAAATATGCTATGCCATGAAATACCTCTATTATGGACCACAACACCACCGACTATACAATAAGGCGTCAAGCCTACAATAAAACGTCCATAACAGAATATCACTATTTCATATACATCATATGTTCATCATCTCAAAATGTTCATGTAAAGGAACATTACAACATCGTATCAACAAATAGGAACTCCAAGCGTTCATACAAAACGGATTTACAACTTTTACATATTTACTTATATATATATATATATATATATATATATATATATATATATATATATATATATATATATATATATATATATATATATATATATATATATATATATATATATATATATATATATATATATATATATATATATATATATATATATATATATATATATATATATATATATATATATATATATATATATATATATATATATATATATATATATATATATATATATATATATATATATATATATTTATGGTAACGTTTCATCAATTATCAAACAATAATCCACATATTATCATACAGACCAAAAACCTACAACACCGTCTCAGACACAGACAATCCTTTACCGTTAGTATTTGTCGACTTACGGAATTAACCTATGATTACTATCCCTTCCATGAAATCTATCATACCCCTGGTTATAGAATTGAACCCCACCCTTACCTTGGATTTGAGGCCAATCCTAGACTTCTGGTTTATCTCTTCGGTGACTCTTCTGTCACTGCCTTGCAATTTTCTACGATGATAAATTTTCCTTCTGTTCACCAACTTCTCTCAGCCA